TTCTAGTTTACGTGGAAAAAATAGAATGTCATGTTGATATGTCACTTTCCAGTGGTAGATGTATATTCATCAAGTTTTTTATATCAGGTATATTTATTTTTTAAAGAGCTATCACCCACAGTGCAACTGATATTCATCTCGTATTTTTTTGTATTCATCTGTTATTATTTTGTATTCATCTGGTATTTTTTTATCAAATATTTTTTCAACAACTGATATTTATTTTTTGTATTCTTCAGTTATTATTTTTTTTTTGTATTCATCTGGTATTTTTTTTATCAAATCTATCTGTTATATGTTTGTATCAGGTATTTTTGTGTTCTTTAAATAATAATAGATTTTAACTGAAAACAAAAGAAGTAAAAAGGAGGAAAAAAAATGAGTCATCCATTATGGAAGGACTTTCAGATGTAGACAGGCTTCTACAATTTTTTATTCTCTCTCATGCCACATCATGGCAAGAAGAAATTAAAAAGCCACCGTTGGAGGAAGGTTTTTGTCCTAAAGCATCTAAATTCTCCAATTAACATACCATTGGAGATGCTCTAAGATCTTTTGTAAGCATTGAGTCTAGTTTTGCAAGTAAATAAACCTAAGTCTTGAATGACATGAATAAAACAATAAAAATTTTACAAAATTCACTCCAATGCAAAGGGACTATGTCTCTACTTAGGTCTAAAATAGGCTTAAAGGTAAATCGGGTCATTTTTTCTTGTTGCCACATCAACCGGCCCTAGTCTATTAGCACTAGCATTGGAAAATATATTTTTTTTGTACTGGGTCTATTTATTAAGTGACATATAATTCTTTTTTGAATGAATCCAAAACAATGTGAATGCTCTAATTACAATCTCTTTACCAGGCAAATGAACAAGCTATATAGTTGAATTTAAAAGAGGGGTTTACGCCTAAACAAGATTACACAACACAAAAATTTTCAAATGAAGAATACATATAACTCCCATAACAAAGACTACACACTCCTAAAAATGAGATTACAAATCACAATAAGCAAAGAAACACAAAACACAATACTACAACAAGCTCCATAAAAGATCACCAGAGACCAACCATAGCCGAATACATGAATCTAGTCACCCCTTCACCAAGAACTGATAACGGCTAACCTAGATCCCTCAACTTGAACTTAAAACTCATCCTAGAGCCGCACCCGAAAGACTAACACACAAAAACACAAAAACCAAACACCACAAAAACAAAATAAACTAATAACTAGAATAACCTAAGCCCTTCCCTACCTCCAACAGCCATCCGTAAACCACCAAAAGAAATGGTCCCCCACAAAAAAATAGATTACGACCAGCCAAGTTCTAGAAATTGCAAACTAAGTCTAACTAGATTCGGACCAAACGAAAATATCCCTTTCAAAGGCACCACCCTTAAACACCAAAAGACCAGCTACATAAAGCCCCCCGAAATCAAATCGGCGATCGATGCAACAAACCCAAAACAACACCCACGCGAACAACCTGCCTTCTCAGCACAAAGGAGATGATAAAAACCAGGGAAAAACCCACAACCATACACAACCCCAACCAATCCAATAGCAACAAGCAGTACCTGCCTCTACGACCACTCTGTCGAGTCAACACCCAGCAGACCCCCGCCATAGTGACATTCATCATATTTTCATGCATTATGAGTGATATAGTGTGATATTTAACCGTGTTTATAGTGGGATTGCGCACCATTTTGTTTTATTTATTAATCTATTGTAGATGTGTATTTGTCGTTGTTTTTGCAGGAAATATGCCCGGAAAAGTGCTGAAAATGGAATCAGGACAAAAGCAACAAAAACAAGGTGCAGATGAGTCACACGACTCGTGTGAGTAGGTGACACGAGTCGTGTGGGTTGAAAAGATGACGAAATTGAAGAATTTTGCTACAATTTTATCACACGACTCGTGTGTCAAGTGACACAGGTCGTGTGACCTCACACGACTCGTGTGATCCGGTCGTGTGAGGGGTCGTGTGAGTTTGGGAGTTGGGCAAAAAATCGAGGAAAGTCACACGACTCGTGTGGTATATGACACGAGTCGTGTGACGCGCAGAGTGACCAGTGGGAAATAGGATTTCTACGCGATTTCTTCCCTTTTTCGACCCATAATTGCCCTACAATATATAAGGAACATGAATAACACGGTTTTGGGACTTTGGACACCATTGGAGGCCTAGAGAAAGCACGAAACACACGAGGGATTCGAGGAAGTGAAGATTGAAGATCCGGAAACTAA